TAATCATAATCTTCTGAGGAAGATCCCACTTGAAAACTAGCATTTTAGTGACAGTTCAGTGAGACAGACTAGTTTTACGAGGAGACGGGCGTTTTAGCAAGTTGGCCGAAGAAGTAGTTAAGCTTTCACTTAGGGTAATAGGATGAGGACTCCGTTGGCCTCTCTGACGTGCCCTGTGAGGAGCCCTGGTGGTAGAGTGGTTGGTTATGCATTGGTTTGCTAATCACAAAGCCAGAAGTTTGAAACCACCCACCACTTCTCAACTCCCGTGAAGATTGATAGTCTCAGAAACCCAGAGGGGAGGGTCTATCCTGTCTTATAGGGTTGTTAGGAGTCGGAATCGACTTGATGGTTGGGAGTTTTGCTTATTTCGAGTGAAGTGTCCTATGTGATAAGTGGAACCGGAAGAATTTTTGGATTTGGAAAGAAGAGAAGGTCATTTTGAGGCTTTGAAGAAAAGGAGAAACCAAAGGAGCTCTGAGGCGGAGGAGGAGAAAACAAGATGAAAGTAAACGCAGTGTGAACATTTCCTACCAAAGAGGCATGAAACTCAAAGCGCCGTGTCTACGCCAGGGGCAGGTCAACAATGCTTGGAAAGCAGGCCCATCCCTGGGAAGGCTCTAATCACAGGTACCCAAATAAGACTAGTGTGGTGTCTGACCCACCTGGTCCGATGTTCTGAGCCCACGTCTGGATTCCCCCCACTGTGTTCTTTTTCACTGCACATAATTGGGCCAAATGAATCTGCCTCCTGAGGCCACAACTCTCAATTTAGAGGCATTTGTGCCAAATTCGCTTCGGATGCCCTACACAATGTGAGTACGTACCTTTGTCAAGGTGCCACGTGTTGTGGCTGTGCCTGGGAAGATCTCAGCTGTCCGTTGGCTTGGTGTTGATTATACTTTTCTCCACGACATCCCCGAAGCGGGTGGTGGTGCAACAGAGAGGGATCAACATGACCGTCAACAATGTTACCTGTATGGATTTCAATGATGATTTGGAAAGTGGCTTTTATGGTGGGCACACACACGGGGCCTTCAAAGAAGTTCATAGAAAAGTGGAATGAAAGGATAATGGAGTCTTTTCCATGACATTTTTGAAGCTGGCTTGTATAACGTCTGTGCAATTTCCCTGCTTATTTCTGGACACCTTCTGGCTTCTTGCCCCGCATCTGTAATGGGTTTCCAGTGTCCCAAGATCATCTCCAAAGTGAAGTGCAGGTGAAAGGCCTTATGGTGACAGTGCACATCTCTTTGAGATCTGGAGAAAATGGGCTTTTGCCATTCCCTCTCTTGCCATCACGTTTATGAGCTCCATTCACAGATTCCATTTACGTGGTTCACATGACCACTTTATTGGCTCAGCCATGATTAATTTAGTTGGGACCAATATTGAGTCCATGTTTCAGGTGAGGCGGGATGCTTTAAGCACTTGGGATTCCCAAGGTGAGTGAGAGACTCAAGACGTCACCAGGGAGATGAGAGTGTGCAACGGAAGGAACTGGAGAGCATGTCGGCGGGAGAGGTCCTTACAAAGCTGCCGTAGAATCCAGAGCAGGGACACGTGACTTCGTGTTTGGAAGGTTCGGAGTGACTGGTAAGAAGAATTCACAGGAAAGGAGACCTTCATGGGGCAACATTTTATGGTGGAAAAATGGGTGGTAGACTCTTGCACACCTTGACATTTTTGCCCATGCATGTCCTGTTATTCATGGAACAGGCATGCATTATATGCTGCAATAATTAATAAAGGTTATAAGACACTGGAGACCTAGTGGCCTATCGGCTGATGTGTTGGGCTGCTGGTCCCATGGTCAGTCATTTGAATCGCCCATCCACTGTCGAGGCAGGACAAAGAGGTGGCTTTCATCTTAAAGATGGAAAGCTTCAGAAACCAGCTCTGTGGGGTCGGTTCTACTCTGTTCTAGGAATGCGGTGAGTCAGAACCAAGTCCAGAACTGTGCGTTTGGGCTTTTGGTTTATAAGACACTGCTGGAGTCCTCGTCGTGCAGTGGGCAAACACTTTGCTGCTAACCGAGGCAGACAGAACCCAGCAGTGGTTCTGCAGGAGAAAGACGTGGCAGTCAGGCTCCACCCAGACCCCAGCCTTGGAAACCTGATGAGACCGTTGGACTCTGTCCTTAGTAGTTACCGTGAGTCAAAATGTACTCGATGGCAATGAGCTTGGTTGGGTTTGGTTATGAGACACAGAAGAGAACCTGGGGTGGTACAGAAGGGTAACATGCAAGGGCATCAAGTCAAAAGGTTGATGGTTTGAGTCCACTCAGAGGTACCTTTGAAGAAAGAGCAGGTGAGATCCTTACTTTTGAAAAAAAAAATCAGTCACTGAAAACGCTAGAACGCAATTCTTTTGTGGCACATGGTTTTGACAGGTTTTACAGGATACTGGGCCTACCAATTTCATGCTTGCAGAACACCAGCCGTCCCCAAGAGCACTAAGCGTCTATAGTTACATATTCACGGCTGCTTCTTGCTGCCTTCAAATCATGCATGAACCATGAATCAACAAACAGGAAAAAGATTTGAGGTTGATTGGGGTGAGTTCAACAGGACAGTGATGAAATGGAATGAGATAAGCAGAAGAACATGAAGTAGAATGGAGGACCGGGGACCAGTGCTGCCCAAAGGTCATTAAACAATATGCCCAAGGGATCCTAGTCCTACTGGAGGTTTCCAACCTAAGAGCTAAGTCATGGCAAATGGAAACATTTGTAAAGTTGGACCTACTCATCCCTGGCAGCTGATGCTCTGTGAATGTGATGGCAACTGTCCTTTGAAAACTACCCTGGAAAATACACGGTGGACGGCCTTTGGGAGTGAGCAAGGAAGTGCTGTACAAGAACAGGCAGTGCCAGTGCGCATCAGGGTGGGTGGCTTATGTTTAGTGGGAAATCGAAGGTAGCCGCACCAGCTTCCTTTTTGCCAAGAGACCCTGGGAGTTTTGTCTTCAAGTCTGTGTTTCCCGTCTTAAATAATTAACCCATTGCTGACTCAAAAGCCACTCTGTGGGAAAGAGTCAAACTGCTCCATGGGGTTCCCAAGGCTGAAATCTTTCTAGGAGGAGGCCCTGGAGGGCAATAGTTAATCTATTGGTTGCTCATTGAAAAGTCAGTGATTCAAACCCACCAGTCGGTCACTCGATGGGACAAAGATGTGGCAGCCTGCTTCCTGAAATATTGACAGCCTTGAGAACACTAAGGGGCAGTTCTAGTCTGTCTTAAAGGGCTGCTAGGAGTTATGCATTTGCACCACTGACCTTTCAGTCAGCGGCCAAGGACTTAATCATTCAACAGGCTTCTGCATCTCATCTTAGATTTCTTTACTTAAGTAAAATCTCATTGATTAAAAAAAAACAACTTCAGTTCATCTATACAACCAATATCTTTCTACCTCATTTCTACCCTGAAACACTCTCTCCATTCATTTAATAAGGATATTATTGAGTGCTAATTACACACAGACACTATGCCTGGCTCTGAGGAGGTTCTAAGTCTCTTACACCTTTTTTATTGGGCTGCACATGCCCAGCAAACCTGGATCTATTGATTCTCTGCTCAAGTGAGAGACGAACTTATCCTTAGCTACTTCTTTCCTTAGCTCCTTCCTTCCTGTTCTTCAAGGTCTCTTCTTCAGCACTCTTTCTTCTGTGTCTTTAATCCCAACTGATCTAGTGTTCTTGCTAACTGCTCTGATAGTTCTTGTCGTGTATCCTCTCTACCATCCACCATTCGCTCTCTCCCTCCACCCTCTCTCTAGGCATGTTTCCACCGCTCTGCCGGAGACCTCTGCAAGCTCGCTTCCATTCTAAAATAGCTCCCTTTGTCGTTGCAATATTCTCATCTTTCTGTTCCCATTACCCTCCAACTTCTCAAAGGGATGGCCTTCATTAATCTTCATTCCCATTCACACTTCTGAATTTTGGCTGTGCCCTAAGTAAGACCTATCTCCTGGGACTCCTTGCTCTGGGTGTCCTCTTTGCCAACTCCAACTTTACTTGCTCTGGCCCCCACCCCCACCCTTTTCTCCCCCAAACATTTTATTAGGACATCATTTGGACATCCCTCTTTGCCCGGCTTGACCCAACCAATCACTCTCCCCTTCTGAATCACTCTCCCCATTTCGAAGCTTTTAACTCCCCCATTCCCTTAGCTCTTCCACAGCCTTCTGACTGCTCATTTTCAGAGGCCCTGTTGGGGTTTGCTTCCCCTATGAATTCTTGGTATTGGGATGTGTGCCAATGATCCGTTCATGCATGATCGGCTCTTTCCACGTTTGCTTTCTCTGCGCCTATTTCAATATGAGTGTTGAAGAATTGTTTCCTCCGACTATCAAAGGATACAACAGATTCCTAGGCTTGTTGTTGTGAGGTGCTGTTGAATCTCTTCTGACTCATAGTTAGGGTGACCTGGTAGCAGTGGCATAAACATTTGAATTGTTATGTTTTCATACTTGTTCCATATTGTGTATGAGTTCATCTGAGTTTCCAGTGCTCTAGCTATTGTATGTTGTGTCTCTGCCCTCTGTACACCTGTAGGGTGGTCTAGAATTTGAATAAGCTTGAGTCCTTAATGGTTCTGAATTAATTTTGAATCCCTGAGGAAATTAATAAGTTGTTAGAGACCAGCTAATTTCATTTTTTGTTATTGAATAAAATCTGGCTAATATATTCTGGGGTAGGGAAGTCCATTTGTAAAGCAAGTTTGCAGGAAACAATTTCCCTCTCAAGGTTAATATAATAGGTAAACACCTTTTGCTGCAACAGACAGCAAGAGGTAATGAAAGATTAGCTTACATTATGATTCATCTTTCAAAATGTCAGAATAAAGTGGACCTGCCACATCTCCTAGGCCTCTTATTCTTTAGAAGAGGGTGCATGTTCTGCTTTTTGAATGTTAATGGATTCACTGGTTTTTGTTTTTTTTTTCTTTTCTGTTGTTGTTTTGTTTTTTTTCTTCCACTCTCTTCTTATTTTTTTTCCAGGCCAAATTCAGATAACCGGCGCCAGGGTGGCAGAGAGAGCTTGGCTAGTACTGGTGACAAGGGAAACATGGCCCTGGAAACTGCCAAGGAGACTCGCTACTGCGCTGTGTGCAATGACTATGCCTCAGGCTACCATTATGGAGTCTGGTCCTGCGAGGGCTGTAAGGCCTTCTTCAAGAGAAGTATTCAAGGTAATAGTGTGTTGAAAACCACTTCTTTCAATTTTGCTTCTAAGACCTGATGGAGCAAAGAAGGAAAACATTGAAGCAATGAGTTGTGTAAAACACCGATATTCAGTAGACCTCTGAATGCTTTTTTGGGGGGATTTTGGAAGAGAGATTGGATCGCAGGAGGCGTTGACAAAGGCCAGGGAATCAGAGGCTGAGCATTTTACCCTTCCTCTCTTTGAAAAGACTAAATAGCACCAACTATCTCTGCAAGAGGAGAATTTCAGTAGTTGGGCACATTGATTTCTTAACAGCCCGTGGACATGCATACTGGGGTAATTACTTTCTATATAGAATTGTCTCTCTACCTTGGCCTTGTCTAGGTAAATATTCTGTTTTGATTTCTCCTTCAGACCAATTCTAGTTGTACCAACCAGATATCCTTTTCCTCCTCTTCTTTCTCTTTGATTTCTCAACCAAGGACCTGCCCTTTGGATGTTGCTCTTGTTAGGTGACATCGAGGTGGCTCTGACCCAGAGTGACATTATGCATGGCAGAATGAAACACTGCCCGATCCTGTGCCCTCCTCACAATCGTTCCTGTGTGAGAGCCCATTGGTGCAGCCCCGGTGTCACTTTTTCTCCTTGAGGGTCTTCCTCTCCGTTGCTGCCCCTCTACTCAAGCAAAAATGGTGTCCTTCTTCAAGAACTGGTCTCTCCTGATAACATGTCCAAAGTATGTGAGACAAAGTCTTGTCATCCCTGCCTCTAAGGAGCACTCTGGGCTTCCTTCTTTCAAGACAGATCGACTTGTGCTTTTAGCAGGGTACTTGCAATAGTCTTCTCCAGGACCATCATTCAAATGCCTCTCTTCTTCTGTAGTCTTTCTGACTCAATGTCCAGCTTTCACATTGCATAGGAGGCCCTTGAAGACACCATGGTTTGGGTCAGGCACACCTTAGTCCTCAAAGTAACATCCTTGATCTTCGGTACTCTAAAGAGGTCTTGTGTAGCAGATTTAACTAATGCAATTCATCCTTTGATTTTTTGACTGCTGCTTCCATGAGCATTGATTGTGGATCCAAGAAAACCATGATCGTTGGCAAGTTCTCCATTTTCTCCATTTACCTATTGGTTCGGTTATGAGGATCTTGGTCTTCCTTACATTAAGTTGTAATCCATATTGAAGGCTACAATACTTGATCTTCCTCAGCAAGTGCTTCAAGTCCTCACAGCAAGGTTGTGTCATTTGCATATCGCAGATTGTTAATAAGCTTTCCTCCAATCCTGATGTTACACTCTTCTGTATATAATCCAGCTTCTCTGATAATTTATTCAGCAGACAGATTGAATAAGTATGATGAGAAGATACAACCGTGTCGCACACCTTTCCTGATTTGATACTCTACTGTATTTTTTTGTTCTGTTTGCATAACCACCTCTTCATCCATGTACAATTTCCTCATGAGCACAATGAAGTGGCCTGGAATTCCTATTTTTTTTCAAGGTTGTCCATAGTTTGTTATGATCTACACAGCTGAATGCCCTGGCATGGTGTAGAAAACACAAGTAAATATCTTTCTGATATTCTCTTCATTCAGCCAAGATCCATCTGACATCAGCAATAATATTCCTTATTTCAAGTCCTTTTCTGAATCTGGCAACCCCTGGGAGATCCCTGTAAATGCACTGCTGCTGGATCTTTAATATACTGTTGGATGATCTTCAGCAAAATTTTACTGGCATGTGAGATTAGTGACATGGTTCTAGAGTTTGAACTTTCTGTTGGGTCACTTTTCTTTAGAATAGGTAAAAATTTGCATTTCTTCTAGTCAATTGGCCAAGTGTCTCTCTTCCAAATTTCCTAGCATAGACAAGTGAGTGCTTCCAGTGCCTCTTCAGCTTGCTGAACGATTTCAACTGGTATTCCATCAATTCCTGGGGCCTGGATTTGGTGAATGCTTTCAGTGCTGCTTGAACTTCTTTCTTCAGCACCATTGTTTCTTATTCACCTGGTACCTCCTGAAATGGTGGAAGGTTAATAAGTTCTGTTTGGTATAGTGACTATGTATATTATTTCCATCTTCTTTTGACACTTCCTGTATCATTCAATATTTTGCCCCTGGAATCTTTCAAGAATGCAGCTCAAGTCTTGATTTTTTTCTTGAGTTCTTCCAGTTTCAGATATCCTGACATGTTCTTCCTGTTTGGTTTTCTAATTCTAGGTCTTTGCATATTTCATTATAATACTTGTCTTTGTCTTGTTGAGCTACCCTTATAAGTTTTCTATTAGGCTCTTTGATTTCATCATTTCTTCCATTTGCTTTTGCTACTCTACGATGAAGAGCAAGTTTGAGCGTGTCTTCTGACATCCACTTTGATTTTTTTCCTTCTTGTCTTTTTAATGACCGCTTGTTTTTTTCATATGTGATATTCTTGATGTCCTCCCAGAGCTCATCGGGTCTTCTGTCATAGTGTTCAATTGGTAAAATCTGTTCTTGAAATTCAGATAGGATAGACTCAAGGTCATGTTTTGGCTCTCATGGACTTGTTTTTAATTTTCTTTGGCTTTATCCTGAACTTACATAGGAGCAATTGATGGTCTGTTCCACAGTCAGCCCCTAATCTAGTTTTAGCTGCTGATATTGAGCTTCTCCATTGTGTCTCCCCACAGATATAGCCCATTTGATTTCTGCATATTCCATCTGGGGAAGTCTATGTGTATAGTCTCCTGTTGTGTTGTTGAAAAAGCATAGTTTCTATGAACAAGTTGTTGGTTTTTCAGAAGTCTTTGTTTCCATCACCAACCCCATATTTTCCAACCACTCTTTCCCCTTTGTTTCTAACTTTTGCATTCCAATTGCCAGTAATTATCAATGCATCATGAGATCAACTTCCAACTGAAGCAGTTGGTACAATTCTTCAATTTCTTCATCACTAGTTTTTTGGGCTGGTGTATAAAACAGAATAATATTTTTAGTGACTGAATTTTCTTGAAGGTGGATAGATATAATCCTATCACAGACAACATTATACTTCATGATTGATTTTGCAATGATCTGTTTGGCAATGAATTCCAAGTCATTTCTCTTGGTTGTGTTATTCCCAGCATAGTAAATCATATGATTTTGCATTCAAAATGGCAGTACCAATCCATTTCAGTTCATTGATGGCTAGGATCTTGATCTTTATGCATTCCATTTCACTTTTAATGACTTCCAATTTTCCTGGAGTCATACATTCCAAATTCTGATCATTAGCAGATTCTTGCAGCTGTTTTTCCTTACCTGTCAGCAAATGAAGATCCTGATGGCTCCATACCTGCTTCTCGTCACCAAGGTCACCTCCACTCCAAGAAAACAGCTCCTCCTCAGTCACATTTCAAATGTCCTTTGACCCAGGGCCCACCCTCCGGCACTATCTAGGACAAAGTGCTACTTCCATTCAATAGGCCTTCCGTATCTGACCGTGTTTCAAACCTATGCATAAGGTTTTCTGTGGCTCCTTCTTATGAAATGGGAACCAAGTCCTTTTTTATTGTCTGTCCTTAGTCTGGAAGCTCCACTAAAACCCGTTCATTTTGGGTAAGCCTGCTGCCATTTGACATACTAGTGACATAGCTTCCACCATCATAGCAACACACAAACCAACACAGTACAA